TCATGGCCACTGCAGAAATGATGGTCCCTGTTGCTTTCAGTGGGCATAGTCTTCAGGCTGCTCTGCAAGTGCCCTGCAAATGTGCTGGTGTGGTGAATAAGGGGTTAAAGCAAATGAGGAGGAGGCGATACAACGCCTCCTCACTGCCTGTCAAATGCTCTCTGGAGAGTGGTCCAAACTCAGATCGCTCTTCAGAGACCTAGACTGCTGTGAATGAGCCCTTAAGGTGCATTCATATATTTGGTAAAACCAAACGGATGAGTTGCTGCTTTACCACCCCCGACTGCCCTACCTGAACACAGGCATGCGATTGCTCAGTATTGTACACATGCCATGGCCGTGGCAAAAATAAAACGACATGTTGCATTTGATTGGCAGCCAAAGCGATCCAGTCTATGGAAATGGGCTGCCCTATGCTCCTGCTCCTTTTCAGGCAACAAGTGTCATGTGAATGCTAAAGGCGTGATTTGCCATGATTGCTGTGCAGGGGCAGACTGACAACTCATGGGGCCCCCGGGCAATAGGGGATCATGGGGCCCGTGTCCTTGCCCAAACTCAAAAAAGCCTATGAAAGGGTACCAGGGGCATCTCATGGGGCCCCCTACTGACCCCGGGCCCTCAGGCAGTGCCCGAGTTTCCAAATGGTCAGTCTGCCCCTGTTGCTGTGCCATCCTGTCGTGCGACAGTAGCGGCAGAATCACATTGAAGGACAATGTCACTCAAACATTTTGTTGTGCTGTGATTGCCATGCGATTCCAAATTATGAAGTGTGAGTGAAGCTTTAGAGTTTGCAGTATGTCCACTATAAAGGAGATCCTTGGTCCTCTTTCTGGACAGTGCTGATTGGCCCTGTGCACCCTTCCAAAGGAAAAAAAAACTCTCTAGCAATACACACTAAACTGAGCATGTGCAAAGTGACTCCAAAGACTCTGTTTTATCAGGAGATGAGTCAGGGACAATGAAAGAAGGGGAGGATCAGAGAAGCCAGGATCCAACAGTCTTTTTACACAGGATTAACCCCTTAGGTTCCACAGTGAGTATAACAAGCATGCTCTACTGCATATACAGACTGATTCTACTGTTGTGGGTTTAGTAACACTTTAACATGGTTTCTTATGGGTCAGGTTCACATCTGTGTGTTTTTCCCTAGTGCGTTTTTTGAAAAAGGTCAGTGACTTTTTTCCCGCAGCAGGTTGTTTTTGGTTCAATTGAACTCAATGGAAACACAGCAGACACACATAAAAAATGCAGCGCATTTCTGTTTCGTTTTTGCTGGTTTCTCCTGCAAGACAACAGACACCTCCAAAAAAGCGAAATGCATTAAAAACACGTTAAAAATGTGTCAAAAACACAAGGGAAGAAAAACGCAAAATACACTGGGAAATGAATCTACTGCAACTTGCACAGGTGTAAACCAGGCCTAAGAAACTATGAAAACATTCTAGCATGCTTTCATTTACAGAACACTCTCCCTCTGGTGAAACTTTACAATGTATTTTCATTCCTGAGCTCAGGGCAGAATATTTCCACACTGATATATTGTATACTTTTCACTTACCAGTCAGTGCAGAGTTTCCCTCATTGTTATTTTGTACATTTCTAAAATACCAACTGCCTACTCCCGGAAGTAAATACCCAATGTGTGTTTTCCTTAGTGAATTGACTTTTATAATTTATCTCTTGTTTTTTGTGGTATTTATCTCACATTTGATATTTTAATTTGATGAATTGACTCTTTTATTATCTCATGCAGTATTTCAGAAACATTAGTCACGTGAACGTGCATAATTGAGAGCATGGGAAAGAGCTGGGAGATCTGTTGGAGCCATAGATCAGAGAAGGACATTGAACTTGGGATAGATCAGAGGACATTGAACTTGGATAATGGAGAGCAGATAGGTAAGAGCTGGGAGATCTGTTGGAGCCATAGATCAGAGGAGGACATTGATCTTGGATAATGGACAGCAGATAGGTAAGAGCTGGGAGATCTGTTGGAGCCAGGGGCGGACTGACAACTCATGGGGCCCCCAGGCAACAGGAGATCATGGGGACCCTGTGTCCTTGCCCAAACTCAAAAAAGCCTATGAAAAAGGTACCAGGGGTATCTCATGGGGCCCCCTACTGACCCCGGGCCCTCGGGCAGTGCCCGAGTTTCCAAATGGTCAGTCTGCCCCTATTTGGAGCCATAGATCAGAAAACGACATTGAAGTTAGATAATGGACAGCAGATAGGTAAGAGCTGGGAGATCTGTTTGCGCCAAAGATCAGAGGAGTACATTGATATTGGATAATAGAGAGCAGATAGGTAAGAGCTGTGAGATATGTTGGAGCTGAAGATCAGAGGAGGACATTGAACTTGGATAATAGAGAGCAGATAGGTAAGAGCTGGGAGATCTGTTGGAGCTGAAGATCAGAGGAGGACATTGAACTTGGATAATAGAGAGCAGATAGGTAAGAGCTGTGAGATATGTTGGAGCTGAAGATCAGAGGAGGACATTGAACTTGGATAATAGAGAGCAGATAGGTAAGAGCTGGGAGATCTGTTGGAGCCAGAAGATCAGAGGAGGACATTGAAGTTGGATAATAGGGCAGCAGATAGGTAAGAGCTGGGAGATCTGTTGGAGCCAAAGATCAGAAAAGGACATTGAAGTTGGATAATAGAGAGAAGATAGGTAAGAGCTGGGAGTTCTGTTGGAGCCAAAGATCAGAAAAGGACATTGAAGTTGGATAATAGAGAGCAGATAGGTAAGAGCTGGGAGCTCTGTTGGAGCCAAAGATCAGAAAAGGACATTGAAGTTGGATAATAGAGAGCAGATAGGTAAGAGCTGGGAGCTCTGTTGGAGCCAAAGATCAGAAAAGGACATTGAAGTTGGATAATAGAGAGCAGATAGGTAAGAGCTGGGAGATATGTTGGAGCCGAAGATCAGAAGAGGACATTGAACTTGGATAATGGACAGCAGACAGGTAAGAGCTGGGAGATCTGTTGGAGCCGAAGATCAGAGGAGGACATTGAACTTGGATAATGGAGATCAGATAAGTAAGAGCTGGGAGATCTGCTGGAGCTGAAGATCAGAGGAGGACATTGAACTTGGATAATGGAGAGCAGATAGGTAAGAGCTGGGAGATCTGCTGGAGCCCAAGATCAGGGGAGGGTGTTGGACTTGGATAATGGAGAGTGGATAGGTGAGATCTGAGAGATCAGATAGAGAGTGCATGACAGGTTTCAGCTGAACTGGATCATGGAGAGAAGGGAGCAGCTGGTGTAAATTATGGATGTGAAGTGGGAGAGGGGAAAGAGAAGAACACTGGGTAGAAGGGACAGATGGGGCACAAACTGCCTTGTACCCTCAAACTTAGATGTCGATTTTGTCTTTTCTATTTAATTGGAAAAGTTACTAGCAGTAAATGGCTTTTCCCACTTGCCACAGCCCTAAATGATAGTTCATTGTTGTACTTATAGAAGTCTTTAGAGGCATATGTATAAGGCAGTTATTCTAACATTCACCAAACATTTCCTGCAAGTGCATCTTCCTCTGCTTAAAATACAGTGCTTGATCCACACCAGTGAATGTTTGGTCAAAATAGCCCTGACTGCTTTATAAATATTCCTAGAAGTATTCCTTAGGAAAATACACAAATTGTGCAGGCTAAATCAGAGAAAACGTTATATTTACCCCCTTATTATTATACAGGATTTATAGCGTCAACAGTTTGCGCAGCGTTTACAAACTGCAAGAGGAAACAGAGGGCCCGGCTCGTTAGAGCTTACAATCTAGGAGGAAGGGTTGAGTGATACAAAAGGTAATAGCTGTTGGATGAGCTGATGGAGGAAAAAAAAAGGCAGGTTACTAGTTAGAAGCAGGATAGGCGTCTTTGACCACTTGCCCTTCAGAGGATTCCCCCCCCCCCCTTCCTGACCAGGCCATTTTCTGTGATAAGGCGCTGCGTTACTTTAATTGACAATTGCACGATCATGCAACGCTGCAACTAAATTACATTTATGTCCTTTTTTTCCCACAAATGGAGCTTTCTTTTGGTGGTATTTGATCACCTCTGTGTTTTTCTTGTTTGCCCTATAAACAAAAAAAGACTGACAGTTTTGGAAAAAAAAACAATATCCAGTAAAAAAAATGTAAAAAATCAAATTTCATCATAAATTTAGGCCAAAATGTATTCTGCTGCATGTTTTTGCTAAAAAAAAAATCCCAATAAGTGTAAATTAATTGGTTTACATGAAAGTTATAATGTCTACAAATGGCAGTATATATATTGGAATATTTTTTTATATACTAGAAGAATATCTGTTAGTCTGCCTGAAATGCTCTCAGCTCTTAAGTGCTTTTGGGTTGACATCATGCATTTTGGTGCATTGGTGTCAGCCCTGCCCAGCTATCGTTTGCTAAATTATTCAAATCTTCCTCCTAGCTTATTCTTTACAACATAGAGAACATTACGCACAGGGCACAGGACAGCTCTAACTTTCTGAAATGATCAACACTTACTTTTTTGCACTTAAAGGCTAAGTTCACATTTTCTAGAGAATAGTTAAGGGGCTCCAGTAGATATAAAAAAAAAACTGTGCACCTTTGTAAAATTTTTCAATAATTGTATTGTATTACCTGTAGGCCATTGGGTTCCCCTGGAATCCTGGTCAAAAAATCCCAGTCAATAACCCCATGTCTGCTTTATTGCTAGTAATTGAAGTATTACAGAAGCAAAATCCAATGGTTTTCATATCATAGCACTAAGGCAGGACATGTGTATTGCTAACTGGCCTACAGGTATGACAATAAATCTCATGAATATTTTACAAAGCTGCACAAATTTTATATACCTGTTGGAGGTTATTGACCGCATTCTATTTTCTGGTAAAGATGGCCATTTTATTAGGGTTTACACACACTTTAACCATCCATCACCATATCAGCCTGTCCCCCCATTGGTCAGGTGACTCTCATGGTGAGGAGTGGGGGGGAGATTTACTAAAACTGGTGCACATAGAATCTGGTGCAGGTGTGAATAGTAGCCAATCACCTTCTAACTTCAGCTTGTACAATTAAAAAGTGTTACTAAGCCCAGGACCCTGCATTCACTATATCTGTTCTCCACGGACCCTGCATTCACTATATTTGGTCTCCTCGGACCCTGCATTCACTATATCTGGTCTCCCCGGACCCTGCATTCACTATATCTGGTCTCCTCGGACCCTGCATTCACTATATCTGGTCTCCTCGGACCCTGCATTCACTATATCTGGTCTCCTCGGACCCTGCATTCACTATACTACCCTGCATTCACTATATCTGGTCTCCACAGACCCTGCATTCACTATATCGGTCTCCCCGGACCCTGCATTCACTATATCTGGTCTCCCCAGACCTGCAATTATATCCGGTCTCCCCAGACCCTGCAATCACTATATCCGGTCTCCCCGGACCCTGCATTCACTGGTCTCACCCTGACCCTGCATTCACTATATCTGCTCTCCCCAGACTCTGCATTCACTCCCCGGACCCTGCATTCACTATATCTGGTCTCCCACAGTACACAGAACATGGAAATGCAATTATTTTATTAAATATAAACTACTAAATACCTTTTCTCATCAGCAGTTAGAGCAGAACAACATGTGAGGCTGCTGGATGTGATGTACAAACTGAGGCTACATAGAGTTTATACAGCACATCCAGCATCCTCACAAGTTAGAAGTGTTATGTTAAAGTGTACCAAAAGCTGGAATTCAGCTTTAACAGTGAACAGTGCAGTCTCCTGTCATTCTGTTAGCTTGGAGAAGAAAGCGGGAGGAAGAAAAGGTAATGCTTTGCAATCCTAGGCTACAGGTCTGTGTGTTTCTATTGATGCACACAGTGTAGGGAGACATACTCTAGTCCATGCTTGGAAGAGTGGCTCCATAGGATGCTGCAGGAACATAGGCAAGGAATAAAGTGATAAAGAAGAGGCCTCCTCAGCAAGTGAGTACATCAGCTGCTGGGAGTGCTTTAATATCACTTTAAAACAGTATTAAGCCCAAAACCAAACATTTCTTATATTGCAGCCTACCAATTCTTAGATGTGATGGCTGAGTTCTTTTTTATGCTTCCTTTCCTTTATTATCACCTGGTGATCCTGCCAATAAGTCTGCTTTTTTTTAACAGACCTAGCTGTCCTGCAGATGTAGCAGTTAGAGGGATGAGATAAACCATTTAACACTGATGGGGGTACTTACAATAATCAGCGTGTATTTATTTATGTAAAACCTTTATCCCTGAAGCAAAGAAACTGATGTAACCGCTTATAAAGTGTTAACTGGAGTTCGGCTTCAATTTATTAGTGTATAAATCTTCTAGTCCATCTAACACTACCCTTCTCCGTAGACTGACAAAACTGCTGCCCAAAGGTATCTTTGTTGCTCCTTCATCCAGAGTGGGGGCACCCTAATACAGGATGTGTGTTCCTGGCCAGATCACCAGGTGAAAACAGAGCGAACAAAAGTCCAAAAAAGAAAACTAATGCAGCCACCATATCTAATGTTTGGTAAGCTGCAATATATTAGATTTTTGGTTTGGGGTTTAATACTGCTTTAAATCAGTCATGGTCTGATGACTTGTTAGGCTTGACCTGTTTTTTCCCCCCCAATTTTCGTTTTTTCCTACTGGCACAAGGAAAACAGTTCAGAGCCTCTGAATCACTGTCAAAAACAAAGGATCGCCAATCCTTTTGAATCATTTTACTGATGTTTGCTAAGCAGGGTGGAATGTGTCTTGGTATTTTCAGGACTCTGGAAAGCATGTAGGAAAAGTTCGTCTAGAAAAGGAAATGATCATGTTTTACATTCAGTGCGAGGAATGACAAATCTTATATATCTCCACCATAGCTAATCAACACATCTATTTCATGATATCATGTAGCTACATTTTATACTCTTCCCCTTCCATCTGAAATAAAAGAGGAAGCTTGCAGCACATATTACCACATTTCTGTTGCAAAAGAATTAAACTCTGCAAGACTCAGAATAAGTTACACAGTACTGGAAATCCTTTCCCTCTGAGCTCCCCCCATTACTGCCGGAGTAAACTTTGCTCGAGCTCAGTGTTAGCACTTCGTTATACATATCCAAAATAAAACACACGGCAAATCAAGTAAATATAACCCTAGCAAGAAAAAAACGAATGGGGTTTTAAAGGTACCAAACCATATGAAACAATATCAATTGTACAAAAAATAGGAAACAAAAGATAAAAAATAATTTAACACCTTTTATTCAGTTTAAAAAAACTACCATATTGGTGGAACAGGACAGTCAAACACATAAATGGAGGATCATAAAACTTCAAATGTTTTAAATGAACAGAACTACAATTGGTAGCCTGACTATAATACATATTGTTGCTGATACCTAAGACGTTGGAGTGGCATCATAGATATCAGTTTACATATTAGTGGATAGCTACAACCTTGAAGTAGGAATTGATGCTTGAACCAGCAAACACAAATGCTCCTGGGCTTGGGGATGGACTTGATGCAGGCTGCAACCACATTAAGAATGTCCTGGAACATGCACACCTTGCTGCCCTCAAATGGACCAGGGGAATCCAAATACACTGAATGAGGTAACTGATACCTAGGATGCTACTTAACGTCTTAGGTGTCAGCAACAATATGTAGCAATATATCAACCAAGCATCAATTCCTGAATGAGGAAAGAACAAAGAGAGGGCGCACAGGCCTAGTGCATTACCATAAAAAATGTTTAATAAGAAATAAAATAGGTGTTGTACTCACAAACGAGAATAAAGTCAAGGCACATCATAAAAGAACAGCTGGGTCAACACCGTGCTGAGTAACAGTCCGTAATGGGGAATGTAGACATCCAATAGGCTGACGCTTTTCGAGGACTGAGGAAGAGGCAAGTTCTCGAAACGCGTCAACCTATTGGATGTCTTCATTCCCCATTACGGACTGTTACTCAGCGCGGTGTTGACTCAGCTGTTCTTTCATGATGTGCCTTGACTTTATTCTCGTTTGTGAGTACAACACCTATTTTATTTCTTATTAAACATTTTTTATGGTAATGCACTAGGCCTGTGCGCCCTCTCTTTGTTCTTTCCTCATTCAGGAATTGATGCTTGGTTGATATATTGCTACATATTGTTGCTGACACCTAAGACGTTAAGTAGCATCCTAGGTATCAGTTAACATATTAGTAGATAGCTCCAGCCTTGAAATATGAAATATATTCCGACACGTTTCACAGGACAATGCCTGATGGGATTGCACACCCCAACCAGGACAGTCCCCAAAATACGACAAATTAAAGAAAGAAACCATTAGGCAGATCATGGCTAGAAATGGCCGCGGCACTTTATTGGTGTTACACAAAATAAACACACGTATATACTACAATAACTGTTGATGAGATTCAACATGCAAAATATAATAAAACACCCTCTTCTGGCTCAGTTATTGGAACTCAAGCCATCACATACAACATATGAACTCTGAAAATGTCCCCAGGGGGACAGCACCAAACAACACGCGATAAAAACGGGGGGGGGGGGGGGGGGAGGGGAAGGGAACTCTTCTGCTTGCAGGCTGGCCACTGATCCAAACGATCCAAGTGCCCCTTATATCCTGTCCGCCAATGCTCCAGAAACTTCCGTGACTCCCGATTGGATCCCTGGAATTCTGCTTAACAAAATTTAAAGTGGCTAACACCAAATTTCCCCACACGTGACAAACCCACCATTTACAACTTCAAACAAGCCCATTTGAAAGGGGAGGGGTGGGGGACGGTCGCAATCCCACAAAAGTGGTCTCAAAGGTTTGTGCCCACTTTTGGCCATTCTTCAGGGAAACAAAGCACAGGTTCCTACAATAACGCAAAAATGCCTTTGTACCTATTACCAGCCAACCCATGGAATGACATCTGTGTATCCTGAAGAGAGTGATATCTTGGTGTATGGGAGACGGTGATTGTTATCTTTAAGCAATTTAGCCAACCATGAGAATGGGGGGCATATTTATCTGGTGAGTACACACCCAAAATGGAGGGGCACCTTATTTTGCACACATGGTAAACTTTCCTGGAGAACTTTAAGAGTTTTTGGGTTCATTAAGGACTTTATTTAGGACTTTTTCCCATCAAAAGTTATATTTTGATATTCAAGTTATATTTTCTTATTCATTTTATAATATTTTGCGCTACTTAACCACTTTAATGTTGTTTTTTTTTGGGTCACCATGAAATGATGCTTAGTTAATATATTCTGACACACGTTTCACGGGACAATGCCCGCTTCTTCAGGGAAACAAAGCACAGATTCCTACAATAAAGCAAGAATAGATCCAATAACATATTATGGATATATGGCCATACATACTGTAAATTTGAGAGACAGAAAAGTAAAAATAAAAGGGTTAACAGCGTTTACCAGTTGACAACACTGATGACCTCCCATATGGCCTGTGCATGGTATGTGGGACATATATATTATTATTATTATTATACAGTATTTATAAAGCGCCAACAGTTTGCTCAGAGCTGTACATTACAATGGGAGACAATACATGAGACAGTACAATAATAATACAATGCAATACATGAGGGGTTCGATGGCCCTGCTCCTTGGAGCTTACAATCTAGGAGGGAGGGGAGAGTGGTACAGGAGGAAAAGGTATGGAGGATGGAGTGGTAGGAAGAGTGGAGGAGATCGTCAATTAGCAGGGGACGGGGTAGGCTTCCCTGAAGTGGTGGGTTTTCAGGGTGCGCCTTAAGGAGAGGAGAGTAGGTGATAATCTGATGGATTGGGTAGGGAGTTCCAGAGGATGGGTGATGCCCTGGAGAAGTCCTGGAGGCGGGCATGGGAGGAGGAGACCAGGGAACTAGAGAGAAGGAGGTCTTGTGAGGAGCGAAGAGTGCGTGTTGGGTGGTATTTGGATATTAGGTCGGTGATGTAGTTTGGGGCAGTATTATGGACAGCTTTGTACGTCAGTGTTAGCATTTTGAATTTGATCCGTTGGTCAATCAGAAGCCAGTGGAGGGATTGGCAGCAGGGGGGTGGCGGAAACGGTTGGTAAGGTGGATGAGTCTGGCTGCCGTATTCAGGATCGACTGAAGTGTGGTTAGCCTGTGGTGAGGCAGGCCAGTGAGGAGGGAGTTGCAGTAATCGAGTCGTGATATGATGAGGGAGTGGATGAGTTGCTTAGTGGTTTCTGGGGTTAGGAACGTGCAGATTTTGGCGATGTTGTGGAGGTGGAGTCTGCATGAGTTTGTTAGCGATTTAACTTTGGGCTGGAAGGATAGATTGGAGTCAAGAATGACACCAAGTACTCTGGCTTGCGGGGTGAGCCTGATGGTGGCATATATCTCCCACCTTGATGAAAAAAGGTCCTCCAGCA